AAAAAAAAAGCGATCCAAGCTATATTTGGGCAAAAGTATGAAGTTTAATGTTCAAGTTGCCAAATAAAGACAGCCTGTTTCATCAAACAGGGTCTATGTGCCAGGCACTCTGAAGTGAGATGCTGCTGAGGAGTGCTGAGGCCCAGGTTCCAAGGCTAGCAGGCATGTTGTGGTGTAAGCATGGATCTTTTTACCTTTGAAATACTCATCTTCACATGCATTTTGGAGACCAACACAGTGTACAGCTTACTTCACATGCAGAGAGTTGCCTGGAAGTATTTGGATGATTTATCAAAAAAGAACAGAAATCAGGGAGAAGAGGCTGGTCACAAAACTGGTATCTAGTTACAGAAAGGAAAGTTCTCCATCTTAATCTTTGGGGATGCAACTGCCCATTTGTCATGAATTTTTCATGGATTCTCCCAGCATTTGGTAGTCTCAGGTCACAGACCACCCCGACATCCATTTCATCCATTGCACACAGCAGACACTGTAGCCAGTATACACAACTAAAAAAGTTTCAGGTTAGTTTAAAAGCATCCCAGAGGCAGCTTGCTCAAAGTCTTGTTGTGCTATGAAATCTGTCTTTCAAAACTCTAAATACCATCCCTAGTTTCCAATGATGCCCAAGGGGTTCATGAATCTACAGTCTTTATCACCTTAGAGATTGAAACTCCCATAATGTCTGGATTCAGCATCTGCACTCATATAAAAAGTGCTTCACTGCAGCTGGTGGAAGTATAAATCAATACAGGGCCTGCACTTTGGAGGTATCAGTCCGGATATCCCTTGCCCTAACTGCCCAGCTTTGGCCATCAAAAGTGATGCCTAATAATGAACAATGTCACTCCACACTCCAGGATAACAAGGCAAATCCTACAGTTCTCTCAAATGAAAAATCTGGGAGACTAGACACATACCAATTAAGTTTAACTTTTAAAAAGCATCCCACAGGAAAGCGGAAGATCATCCAACCATCATATTAAGGGAAATATAATAATTTCTACAGATTTGAATTTAACCACAACATTGCAGTTTTTGAAATAGCACAGTTAACATTCTTTAACTTCTGGGGATGATAAGCTGAGCAGATGACATTTCTTATGGACATATTGCCTCTCTGAGTCTCCAGCTGAGAAGATGAGGAGGTTAGGATTTGCCAAACCCAAGCATTTGCAGGATCATTTTGAGTTGCATGAGATGGTGACATTGCATGTGCTGGATAGTTTTATGTCAACCTGACACAAGCTAAAGTCATCTGAGATGAGGAAACTTCAATTTAAAACATGCCTATAAAAATCAGGCTGTGAGCAAGCCTGTAGGACATTTTTCTTAATTAGTGATTGATGGCATAGGAACAGCCCATTGTGGAGGGGCCATCTTTGGGCAGGTATTCTGGGTTCCATGAGAAAGCAGGCTGAGAAGCTAGGGGGAGCAAGCCAGTAAGCAGCACCCACCCATGACCTCTGGATCAGCTCCTGATTCTAGGTTCCTGTCCTGACTTCTTTGATGATGAACAGTGCTGCTCAAGCTGAATAAATCCTCTCCTCTCCAAGTCGCTTTAGGTAATAATATTTTATCACAGCAAGAGTAACCCTAACTAGGACACTGTGCAATTATTATTCCATCTACATATGAAAAATTCAGTAAAGTCTTAGCCTAATCACCTTTGAAAGTTATTTCTAACAACATATGGCATGATTATTTAGAAAGAATACCAGAGGTTCATATAAGCATGCACGATAAAAACATTATTCAGAGAATTCATTGCCTAGAATGCAAAAGGCCCTGAGTTCAGTCCTCAGCAACACACACACACACACACACACACACACACACACACACACAGATAAATGAAAAAAAAAGAAATAGTAAGGCAGTTTTGGGCAGAAGCTAAAGTTAGTGGGTTATTGTCTCCTTTTCTCATTTCATATGAAGATGCAAGAATTTAGAAAGCATTATGACATGTCACTCAATAATCTGAATGAGCTCTGAAAACTCTTAATGGAGAAGACTTATCTGATATTCATTCATTCACTTGAGACATACTTGGTTTCTACCCCATTGTAGCTATTGAGGAAAGAATAGTAAATACACAAGACAAAGGCCCTGTTGCCTGTCATTGTAAACTACAGTCTAATGAGAGAAAAATGCTAAAGAATAACTACATGAATACGTGCTATTATAGCTCTTCCACAGTAGAGGTATAGGAGTGCATGGTAACAGAGAGGAGGAAGTAAATACAAGCAGAGAGTCATGGTTCCAGTTTGGGCAACTCCAAAGGACAGTGTCCACAGTAAGAACATGAGTAAAGGAACTGGGACTAATCCCTTCTACTCCATAGAATATAATATTAGTCCATTGAAGGGCATGTCCAAGCCTGTGACTTACATCCAATCTATTTCATGGTTTCAATTGGGATAGGTAAGCTGAAATGAGCCCTTTTCTCCCCAAGTTGCTTTTGGTCATGGTTTTCTCACAACAATAGAGACCCCAATGAAAACAGTATTCTATGGTATGAATATACTACAGCTTGTTTAATCATCTATTTCAGAGTATATTGGTTGCTTTCACTTCTAGGCTGGTACTTCCATTTCCTACAGATTTTAAAATGTATTAATTAAAGTTATGCTATAATGCTTGTTTTCTAGGTCAGTACTTGAGATTCTTAAAGTCATATTGCTTTTGGTCATGCTATCATTTTCCTGTTTCTGTTCAGGTATGCTAATGTTTTACTGTGTTAGATATTTGGAATGATGTATTATAGAAACTCTGGGTTGTTTATTATCCCTGAAGAATTTTGGGGTTTGTTTTCTTAGGCACTTTAATCACTGACATATTACCCAGAATAGGTGGAAACTTGGTTTTATGTATTGTTAGAGTGGGTCTATGTGGTGGTTTTAAAGAAAATGCCCCCCCCCAAAGGGAATGCCATTATTAGGAGGTGTGGTCTTGTTGGAGTAGGTGTGGTCTTGTAGGAGGAAGTATGTTACTGTGGAGACAGGCTTTGAGGTCTCATACGTGCTCAAGTCACACCCAGTGAGACAGACCACTTCCTGTTACCTTTGGATCAAGATGTAAGGACTCTCACCTCCAGCACCAGGTGCATCTGCATGCCACCTTGCTTCCCACCACGATGATAATGGGCTAAACCTCTGTACTGTAAGTGAGCCACCCGATTACATGTTTTCTTTTATAAGAGTTGCAGTGATCATGGTGTCTCCTTACAGCAATAGAACCCATAAAGAGACAGTCTACTTCAGGTTTTTTTCCTTATTCTTAAACTTCATATGTAAATTACATGAATGGGCTAAAAACAAACTCTATGTTCAGGCACTGAATTCCACATTGTGGACAGCAGTTGAAACCATTTTTGGTTTATTTTGGCATTTAATTTGTACTCTGTAGCTGTATTTCACTTTGAGGTTGCATTAGCCACCTTTCTGTTGCTGTGAAGAAATACCCCACAAAAGCAACTTAAGGGAGAAAGGGTTAACTTTGCCTCACAATGTAAGAGTATTGTCCATTGTGGTCAATAAATCTCTGAGATAGATGCTTGAGGTACCTGGCCATATTTTATCAACAGTCAGAAACCAGAAAGCAATGGATGCTCTCTGGTCAGCTAGCTGCTTCTTTGTATTTGATCCGGGACATAAACCCAGAGAATGGTGATGAACTCTTTAGGACGGGTCTTCCTCTAACCTAATCTCAATCGATTTAACTGAGATAATCCCTCACAGGCTCACTCAGATAACCCAAACTAAATAATCCCTCTCAAGAGCACCTGGAGTCTTGTCTCCTAGGTGAGTTTACATCCTGTCCAACTGACACTCAGGACTAACCAAGAATCTGCCATCTTGGCTTCTAGGGCTCTTATCTGAACATTCAAATGAAGCTGATACTCAGTATCTGCTATTGGTTACTTCTTTCTGAAATTTCAGGTACCCTGAAGTATCACCAACCATGCTTTGACTCACTGAGCCAACAAAACTTCAGTTTTCCACTGAAGTGCTGCTAGAGTTTGCCTCTTGGCCTAGTACAAACCCACTCTTCTTTTGAGGGCTGGTTCTTTTTTTTTCTTCTTTTGTTTATTTTGTTTTCAGTCACTCATGTCTTTAAACAGAATTAAAAATTTGCTATTTTCATAACTTCCATCTATTGGAGAGCTTGATACAAACTACTCTGCCTTCACTTAAAGCACTTTGGTTTTTAATTTTGGCATTGTGTTTTTGTTTTTTTCCTGTGAGAAGTGCTTGTAAATTCCCCATCCAGCTACTTTCATGGATGTAGTTCAGTTCCCCTGAAGGTCAGAGTCTAAGTCTATTCACTGTGGTTCTCCACTTGTTTTCCAGGCAGAACTCACATAATTCTTTCATGTGTAATTTTACAAATACACATGAATAAATCATAATGGACTTGAGGCTGATCTTAGTCATAGGTACTCACTACAGTTGAGGTATAGATTAAGTATACCCCCCAATTTTTCATGTGTTGGAAACTCCATTCTTAGTGTGACAGTGTTGGAAGGTAGATCTTTGAAAGTTACAGCCTAGTAAGGGGTGGCTACCTAATTGAAGCTGCTGCCCTTGGAAGAGGTTTTGAGAACCCCAAATTTCTGTCTGGCTTTCTGCTTTGTGACAGAATCACTTTGTCCTACATGTAACTTACCAACAACCATAGTGGTAGAGGTTGTATTATACTCTTTAAACTTCCAGCCTCCAAAACTGTGTGCTAAACAAACTGCTTTTTTAAAAAAACTAAGATCAGTCTGCTTCAGCTATTTTATTACAATCATGCACAACTGATACATATGCTTTTGACAATAGTTTTCAGTGTAATTTCTTCAAACCACTGTTCTCAAATCTGTAAATTGAGGAGATGGTTTGGCCTTAATAACAACGAACAGCACTTCAAAAACATATTTTTCTGCAGAAAAATCCTGGGCACCTCATAATTAATAAAAATAATAGAGATAATATTAGTAGTATATAATGCATTACCTGGACTTTGTTCATTTCCAGTTTATTCTTTTCATTGGCACTCTGGTCTTGTTTGCTTGCTCCCTTCTTCTGAGGGCCTTTTCCAAAGAAAATGTAATTTACAAAAGCGTATTCCAGCAGAGCCAGGAACACAAACACAAAGCAGCCCATCAGATAGATGTCAATCGCTTTGACGTAAGGAATCTTTGGCAGAGTCTCCCTTAGGTGAGTGCTAATAGTTGTCATGGTCAGCACCGTGGTAATTCCTGTGAGCAGAAAACCCAAGCTTAGCTGAAGGCACCGCTGTGATGTCATTTTTTTCCCAAGGCCCAGAAGATGAATGCCATCCCTTAATGTGCTGCAACAATGGAAGTAGTGTGCTAAGCCACTGGACTAAAGTACACACATATCTAAAGACAAAATATTAGGGTTTCTCTAGATTCTGTTACTAAGACATGGCATAGAGCATACAGATGATGGAGGGCTAGTGATGTTTTAGAAATAAGCATGCAAATATAAGAAAGGAAGCAGTGAAAAAGCAGAAAAAATTCCACTGTCAAAAATAAGGTGGCATGTGACAACTAACTTGGGAAGTTATTGTCTGACCTTCATGTATACATTGAGTTATACACGCGCGCGCACACCCCCCCCACCTAACATTTTAAAAAGTTCCCCTGGAATCTCATTGTCAACTGTCTCTTACTCTGTTGCATAGCTACATCTATCCTTAGCTGCATCCTTCCTTTCCTTTTGCTCCATGTGTCAGTCATTTCCCTCTGGATTCTGTCCTTGTGACCCTGATCTCCACAGTAGCCACTGCCAGACTCAAAGTCTAAGTCGGTGACCAGCTTGGGGTGACTGATAATCTCATGAGTCTATAACATACCTCACTCACAATTTCATTTTACATTTTCTAGTCACTTGTCACTCATGCATGATTGCCAAGAGAAGAGATATTTAAGGAATTTTGTGTCTCCCATCAAATATTCTCTACATATAATAAGATCTTGTTGCTTTAGTTTTTGAAATATTACCTCTGTTTCATTGGTTCCAGAGCCTGTAACAAATTCACTTCCTAACACCAGAAAAAGGTTTATTAAAAATCAGCTTTTAGATTTGATAAAAAATGTTGATGCTTAAAAACATAGCACAGGTTATGTTTTATCTGCCTTGTTAAATCTCAACAGTGTTAATAGTATATATTTTGATGGACAGCATATTGATTATATTGTGTTGATAATGGTAACAATGGAATACTGTTTGGGAAAAATAACACAAAAAGAAGCTACATTTTGTGTAAACAGTACTGCAACTCCTAATACCAGGACTTCACATTTGTACACTCACAACAGCTCACTGAATATGATGGGGAAACTAGCTATGTTGCTGAGTATGGTGGTGGATAGTCTGTGCAACATGAGACCCTGTCTCAAAAAATCAAAACCACCCAAACAAACAAAATTCTCAGATGAATTATCTTCATGTAGTTCACCCAGCTATAAGCTATAGGACCAAAACAAAACAAAACAAACCCCAAAACACCACCAACAACAAAAGCAAGATTCTCACGACAACATTTAAAATAAAGCAAGGATAATATGTGAAATAAGATGGGAGCTATTAAGCAAAGACAGGCTTTGTGAAAAGGATGAGAAGAGAGTGGTGTGGGGAAATGAGAGGGGTAAAGGAATGAAAGAGGGGGTTTCCATCATCTGGCAAGGGATAACTCTAGACTGCAGATTTCCTGATATAACTCCCCAGGAATACCATAGAAAGGTAGGGAACAATTTTTTCCCATTTCCATCCATCTACCTGCAATTTTAATGACAGTTTTTCTTTATAGATGAATTATATTCCATTGTGCATATAATCATATTTTCTTATCAATACTACTACTAATAATAATCACAGCAACAATAAATATGAAGTCAGAAGGGAGGTGGTTTGGAGGTTCCTGGGGAGAGTTAGAGGAAAGTAGTGTGATGTGATCAAAATACATTGTACACATGCTTGATTTTTCAAAGAATAAATAAAAATATTATTTAAAAAATTAAAATGAGTGCATATCAGTGATTGATTCAAATGTCTTGGAACATAAGTGAATGATCTTACTTGTTTCTTTGAATAAAACTTTAAATTTCATAGAATATAGGAATATTCTATTTACATAGTCACTAAATTTATGTTTTTAGTCTTTGTTTTAAATTAGAAAATAGTAAGTAAATGTTTTTAAAATTTTGTATGCTAATATATATTAGTCAACATTTTAAGGATCAAAACATCATTATATATTAACATCTCTCATATATGTTTGGCTTTATAAAATTATGTGCTTTTATGAGAATCTGTGCCTGTGAGTATAGCACCCAAGAAGGCCAGAAGAGGGCATCAGATTCCCTAGAGCTGGAGTTACAGGTGTTTGTGAGCCACCCAACATGAATGCTAGGAGCTGAGCTCATGTCTTCTACAAGAGCAGTACAAGCTCTTAACTACTGAGCTATCTCTCCCGCTCCTCTAATATCTTTAATGAAAATGTCATTTGCTTTGAGAATAGGCATGTATAGACAATCAGAGTGCCTGAATTTTGAATTTTTTTCCTCATGTAGATTGGATATCATCCAAGGTTTCTTTAACCCTCATACATGCACATGACTGCGTTCCTATTAAACCGGTATGTTGAAGATACATATATAATATGAAAAACTATTTGTCCATTTTCTTTATACATAGAACACCCTAAGGTTGGTATGAGGCTGCAAGCATTTGACTTTGCAAGTCTTATGTACTCAGCCAATAGAAGAGGACTGGAGATATGCCAATTAGTCTTTGTGTGAAGGGATATACTCATCAATTAATCCATTTTAGTGTGAGAAAAGGCATGATAAGTTATTTTAGCCAGAAGAGACATTTCCCCATTTTCCTGTCTTTCTCTCCAAAACTAGAATGATATCTAAAATGAGTCTGAGTATTAAATAATGAAGTAGACCTGCGCATGGCTACTTGAGGTTATGAGATCTTGCATGAGATCATCAGACACATTTTATACATCCTAACTTTCCAAAAAAATTTACAGTCTCAATATAGCTCTCCAGTTTTCAACCATGGTAGAATTAATTCTGAATTTTGTTCGACTGAACAAGAAACCATTTTTTTTTTCTGACTCAATCATGGATCATTAATATAGTTGGTGAATTGTTTGTGCCTTATTGAATATAATGAGCTATATTTAAGGCAAAGACTGGGTTTTGCATGTTTTAACTTTAGTTCATCAAAGGATACAATTTCCCAACAATTGATACAGCTTGCTAACACTCAATAGGTTTAGCTTTCTCCATGTTTATTTTAAAACGATGTTACCAGTGTTTTAACAGTCAAAAGCAGGGAACAAAGAGGAGGTTTTCAATATTTAGTAAAAAAAAAAATGCAGTGTAATGAGATTCTGACATATAATCCACAAACATTCATTCAATGGAAAAAATATCCCCCATTTTTTTGCAAATCCTAAAAGATATTGCACTCATTATAAACACTCTTATAATTCATCTTTTTTATTTTAAAGCACCTATTGCAGTCTAGTTCTTTTACTTGCTATATGAAGGTTCTGCATTTGATCCCTAGCCTTGCCTCTTTGTTTGAAGGTCTGCTCTATTAACTATAAAAAAGTGGGAATGCATTACCTAGTGCAACTCTTGCTGCAGATGCATCATAGTTGATCCAAAATGACACCCAGGACAGAATTGTAATCAGCGTGGAAGGCATGTAGGTTTGCAAAATGAAGTAGCCGATGTTTCTCTTTAGACGAAAACTTAGTGATAGTCGTGGGTATGCCCCTGGGTTTAAAAAAGAAAAGAGGAAAGAGGAGGGAGAGAGGGAGAGAGGGAAGAAGAAAGGGAGGGAGGGCAGAAGGGAAGAAAGAAAGATCATCATTTGATTAGGATCATCACCTCCCTTTCATCCATGCATGGGTTATCAGGGAAGTAACATCTTCACCTGTTGTGAACTCCACCTTCTTGGACACCATCTTGTAGTCAACAATTGAAAACTGAGGAAGCTCGATTTTATTGACCCCAGTTACTGCTCCCTCTCCTCCATTCCAGTAAAACTCGATGTCATCAGTAGTATAGCCATCTGAAGTGAAGAAACACAGCCTAGTCACACAGAGCACAGTTGGTCTAGAGATGCATTCTGAAGACAATCTTACAGCCAGAGGGAAGATTCATAATACCCTGGGGCAAAGAGTGTCGTTTTGAATTTGAATAGCAGATAGCTCCTACAACCAGTGCTATTTCTGATGGGTTGGGGGTGTGCTTGGTTCGGCCTGTTTCAGTCCCATGCTACAGAGGCCATCTATTCTGGACTGATGTCTTTGGGGCTGTGATCAGAAGCAGCCAAACAGGCTCGGGTCTGACTCTGATTGGAGGAGTGTGGATCGGGAAAATCCTAGCTACCCAGCAGCCATAAGGACAGAGACATCTTGTTATCTTAGGAGGGCTCTCAGTTCATACTGGAGTCTGGAGTTTATTCAAGCATACTCTTAAATAGCTTTCCAACAATGGGGGTGATAGCAGAAGACATCTATTATCATGTATAAAGCTGATACCAAATATTTCCTTTAATCCCAGAGGCACCCATAAAACTGCACGTCCTCACTAGTCCCTCACCAGTCCCTAGGCACATTCCACCAGTCCCCATGATGGGTATGCGTCCACCCAGGGGCCTAGGCCATTGTTACACAAAGTAGGAGACATTCTCCACTGTGGCCAGACCAACCGGAGGAAACCAGATGACATCTGAAAGACAATGGGAGATTCAAACTCCTGGAATTGAGCTGAGGTTTGCACCAAAATATCATGATCTATATTCGTGCCCCATAGGGTTGGCTATGGTGAGGAAGGAGATGCATCTGGCTTTAGTGAACATAAGCTCCCTGAACTTTTATTACCTTGTATCACTGCTACAAATTTGTTTTTATTGTATCTATGGATGGGTGCTCTTTTATTAAAGCAAGGGGTGGCTTCATTCCAAGGCTCTGGAAATGGATTTGGATTATGCTTTATCTAAGAACAAAAATGGAATTAAATGATAAACACAGTTATTAAAAGGGGAGCCTAAGGGATAATGGGAATATAGTGAATGATCAAACCTTGAATAAATGATCAAGGCATTTAAAAATAAACATACATTTCATTTAAAAGAGTAACCAGGCTTATATCCTTCCATTGTAGCTGCTATTATTATAGGTAACATACAGGTAAAATCTTAGGAATTATATACATTTTTGATTATACTAGGTACATTATGAATTATTGATCTCTTTGGATCTCTGAGGGTGGGCTTTAGTGTCAAGGAACCTGGAGAAGATTAAAGACAGTTGAAAGTGTGCCCCTGGCTTTAGCATGGATGGTCCTATGTTCATGGCCTGTTTTCTTTCTTTGGTCTGTCCCCATTTGCCAGTGGCCTGGCTGAGTTATATTGGTATATAAGAGTAAACTGTTAAAATAAGCAAACAAACAAACAAACAAACAAAGAGTAAATTGTATAACACAAATTATGCATGGATGTTTTTAAAAGCCTTAAAATAATTCAGCTCATTTAAAATACATTTTAACCAGTTGATTTTTCTATTTCTTTTTATATTCACCTCAAATAAAGATGCATCTATTTTTTTTATTAGAGTTACTGACATATTTCAAAGGTAACCCTATGAGCTCTTTGTAGTATGCATTATACTGGCCTACTTTTGATTAAAGCAGCAATGTCTTTCCAAGATTTTTTTTTCTAGTTTAAAATTTGGAAGCTGAATAAAAGTGTCAAAGAATTGCACCAATTTACCCTTCAAGAGTGAAATAAATTTTAGTCATTCTTCTCATCCCCCTTTTTGGATATGTATGACTAAAAAAAGTGTCTCAATTTTATTTCTTAAAATAATTAAAATTCCTCTTCAAAATTTTTAAAAATTCTTATTCCTGAATTTATTGAACAATAGCTGTTTTATACCTGATCCCTTATAAAATTACCATTTATAGGAACATATTATACATTTAATTTAATTTAATTTCTCATTAAACCATCAACCATTAGGTTAAAGAACTTGCCCTCTCTCCAAAAAGTAATATCCATATGAAATAATCCATCTGTAATGACCCAAGTATAGACATGGAAATAAAAGGCATTTACTGTTATCTATAAACATTGTTTCTGAGAGGCTGCATGATCCTCTTGACCTATTAAACTTAACACAATCTACCTTGGACTAATTGATGCATTGGAGATTTATGGCAAACTTGGGTATGAATGTGTAACAATGATGCTTAACATTGTTTTGGCTATCTGATAAGAATTCATGAAGAGCTCTACAGGAGATACAGAAGTAGATAGATAGTTTGGCGATGGGTAGATGGGCATATAAATAGATGAGTGACAAATGGATGGAGACACAGATGTGTGATGGATGGATATATGGGTGATGGATAGATGGAGGGATAGATATGTGATGGATGGGTTGATAAGTAGATTTATGGGTGATGAATGAGTGGATGATAGGTGATGGATAGACATATATATATATATATATATATATGTATCCATATATATATATGGATAGATTTTAAACACATAGATGCATATTCTCCATATTCAGGAATGAAAAGCTTCTGGTTTGCTCTAGGTTTGCTACATTAACAAGGTGATAGATTTCAACCTCCAGCTGCTGCTTCAGTTTTCAGAATCTAGGGTGGGGGCAGAATGTAAGCAGAAGTTCAAGTTGTGAGAGTCACAGACACAGAGTTGTAGATTGAGTTAAGAGAGAAGGGTGTGGGTGAGCCAAACTGGCAGCCCTGTTAGCTCCTACTTCTGGGCAACAGCATAACTCTAAATAAAATTGGAATGTGACAACCAGCCAAAGCAGATTTTAATATTCATGATAGTTATCTCTTATGTAAAATTTCCCTTCCCACAGTCTAGGTGGCCCAGTTGTATTAAATGGAAAATTCTAAACATAAACATACCATGAGCTTGAACCGTATACCAATCTTCCTATGAAATACCATGCTCTCCTTCTTTAACCCATCTAAGATATGAGAGACCTCTTTGTCCAGCACATCCTTGCTGAACTGGTTATGCTTCCCACTCATTTGCCACATAATAGTCATGTGAGTTGTCCAATCAATTGTCTCAGTACTGCAGCGGCCATACCCCAGCAACCCTTCTTGATAGTGAGACTAGACCCACACAGGCCTGGCTAAAATTTGTTACAGTTGTCATTATGGATGTTCCATTTACTATTATTTCTGTTCCATTGTGGTTGTTATTTATTTTTTCTTTTGCCTAATTTATGTCCTAGATATGTATGCAAAGGAAAAGGATAGTGTATATGGGGTTGGCAAATGTGGTGCTTTGGGCATCTATCTGCTGGACGTCTAGAAACATATCTCCCTGGGGATGATGAAGGACTATAGTATTCAACAACTTATGTAGGCAGCCAGTGGTCTGGGTCTTTATTTCCAAGCTCATTTCACTTTGTTTAACTAAAACTCATTACTCACAGTGCTCTAGGCACTGAGATAATTACAGATGATTTGGGAGAAAAAGAGAATACTCAATCCAATTTATATAGATGTTGGAGTTCTCATGGGAGCAATAATGGCAGCTGGATCCAAGCAAAGAATGGAGGCCTAGAAGCACACCATTATTCAATGGTTACACAAGAACATTTTGCCACAGAGAGAGAACATCAATTTACTCACACCTAAACAATCTATTTACCAAAGGTTTTCTTTTATGAACCTGTGACTTCACACAGCGTTTCAGTCTGAGTACTCCGATACCAAGGATGTTGTTTCCTAGCAACAACCACAGAGAAGCACTCAGAATTTCCTCCCAGCCCCTGGAGACTTCTTAGTGATGCAGAAAGTACAGATAAAATTAAGTTGATGTCAACAGATGAAGATTCACAGAGCTAGTACAATGTAGAAGTATCTGAATATTAGAATTTTCTAGTCTGCAAATAAAACTTACTCCCCACTGTACTTAGTGGAACTGTATGGGTGGTCAGATATTTAGAGAGAGAGAGAGAGAGAGAGAGAGAGAGAGAGAGAGAGAGAGAGAGAGAAAGAGAGAGGGCTCATTGTGGAGCCCTGGATGACCTAGAACTTAGTATGTAGACCAGGCTGGCCTTAAACTCACAAAGTCAATCTGCTTCTGCTTCCTGAGTGCTGAGACTGAAGGGGTAAAGCATGTGTTTGGATCTAGTTTGATTCTTTCATCCTTGTGTTTCCATCCTGTGGTTATTTGTCTTATTCTTTCCAACAGGGGATGGTACAGTAAGAGGACCGTCATCAGTTGCTGGCCCTTTGATTTTAGACTTATCAACTTATGGGGCTGTGAGCCAATAAAATTTTTGTTGTTTAAGAAAAAATGTTTACTCTAGCATACTCTGTGATAGAAGCACAAAACAGGCATAGGCCTAAAATGAACAATTCCATTGTTGTGCCTTGGGCCAGATTAACTGGAAATGAACACGTGATATGAGTTAGTCCGGAGAAATCTAGGATTCTTGTTTAATAGTTGGATGAGAGATCATTTCTCTCTCTTTTAGATGTCACACACAAGAAACCCTGAATAAAGCAGGCAGTCCAGATACAAGAACTTTCCTGATCGTATCAGTCATTATTAACACCTAGTGAGAATGTCCTATATCTCACTCATGGCCAGCATTTCAACCACTGCAGTCATTTACTATTGGTCTGGATCCATGATGTCTTCAGGGGTACTATCAGCCATAGGAATCAGAGTTTAGTAATGTTATCACAGTTAAATAAAAGCCTATGCAGTAATCCACTAGATGTTTGACTCCTGTCTAACAGTTTGAGGGGTTATCTAGTGTTTTGGGGCACACACCATACATTTTCTCTGGTGATGGGGTAATTAATTAGGATTTTATGTAATTATTAGACATTGTGTCCTTTAAGAATTATTTTGGCCTATATGTGTTCTCATACATGTATGGATTCACATGCACCCATGTATTTGGAAGTTAGTGGTCAACCTCAGATGGTGTTCTTCAGGAAACAGCAGCTCATATTTTTGAGCCAGGGTTTTCATTGAGACTTGCAGTTTGCTGATTTGAC